CTGATCGAGAAGCACTTCCTTGGCTGATCCACTCCAATGACAGCAAAAAAAAAAAAAAAAATGTATGACACAATCCAACCTTCTCCCAACTCCAAGCACGACCTTCCAGAGTACCTATCAAGGAGAGGAGAGTCAAAGTTAGAGGCTTTCCATGACAAGTTTGCCCACTTTGGCAATGGTGGAATGAGAAGGACCCTAGCAGATGCACTCAACCTTGCTGGCACTGCAAGGTACAACCTCAAGATTCGCCACAAGAGAGCCTTCCTGTCAAGAATCAGTGTGGAAGAAAGGAGGTCAATTCCAGCTGGATGGGAGAAGGTGGTTCCATATTGGAACCATTCAGAGTTGACTTACCTGAATCAGATGGCAGAAGCTGTTGGTCTAGACAAGCCATTTCCAAATGCAGAGCCATTGCCACAGGACAATGGAGAGAGATTCTTCTCCGAGTTCATTGTTGGATTCAAGCCACACAGACAAAAGTATGCACCAAATGATTGTTGCTTGTGTACATTGTGCACCGGTCCAGTGGCAACTTCACAACCACAGCCAAATCCACAACCACAGCCAATACCACAACCACAACCACAACCTCCACCAAATCCACAACCTCAACCACCACAAGCAGCTCCGGCGGCACAAACAAGAAATGCTTATGTTGGGAACCTGCTTCTATATAGACAACAACAGATTCAAATGATGCAACTCCACTTCCAGATGCAGCAGCAATTCCAACCAATACTGCCAGCTCCTTTCCAGCAACCTCCTCCACGAAATGGCTGCTGTCACAGATACTGCCAGTGGTTGACTCACAGGAAAGGAAGACCACCACATGATGCCTATTGCCGGTCTCAATACAGTAGATATGGTCAGCAGAATGGGTAGCATTGTTGCATCATTGTAATCTAGATATTAACTTACATTTCAATTCCATCAATGAACATAGCAAGTTGGGGTCGCAGGCCTCCAGAAGACTCAATGTCATCAATGCACATAGTCACAAACTCTTCAGTCATCATACTGAACTCCTTGAAGGAAAGTTGGTCTTGGTACCACTGACTGTAATACCCATGCCACGCAGCCATTACTATGGCATCTTCACCACAGCCCAAATCAAAACACTCATGGACCTTCTCCTTCACCAACCAATACATGCACTCAATAAAGATGTCCTTCCTGTCACAAGGATCTGGTCCCTCCAGCATTTCATAAAGGGAGGAGACAACAGCATTGTACCATTTTTGACTCTTCTGAACCCCAGACTCAATCATGTGATCCATGATGCCTTTCATGTCAGGAGGAAGAGGCTTGCATGCTCCTTGGGAGATAAGATCCTCAAGAATGGGAACTTCAAAGGTATCAGCGCGAACACAGCTCGGGTCCTGGTTGTGGTCTTCCAAAATCACATACTTGCAGGTGATTCCATGCCTTGTTGCCCTCAGCTCATTGAATGGGTATCTGTTGACACTCAACATCCACTTGGAGAAGCCTGGACTAGTACTGATCCTCATGGTCAACGTTTGCTTGTTGTTGTTGTTGGTTTCGTTCCTTTGGTGGTGGTGTTGTCGATCGATCTTTTGGTCGGAGCAAGGTTCGAAAATTGCAGTCGAGAAACTATGTTAGATAACAGTAGTAGTAGCTACTAGTAGCAGATAGCAGCATTGTCGACCATTCCATCATTGTCGACAATCTCTTACCTTGCTTGTGGACAACAACAACTGAACTGTCAATCGATCGTCGGATAGTGTCGAGATGTTGTTGATGTCAGAGCAAAAATGGGAAGGTGTGGTGCGAGCCAAGGATGGGAAGAGAAAAAAAAGGTATCCGTTGCAGCAAGTCGGCCAGGTTGTCGTTAGCTTCTCATTTCAAATTTGAGTGATGCCTTTCATGACGTAAAGTATGTTCTTCGGACGTCTTACCTATGGGGGAGGTGGCGGTCTTTGACGTTTCCCCTCATTGCTGTATGTAAAGAGTGTTCTGGATTCGTTTGGATGACTGATTGCTGACACGATCCTGTGCTGGCAGGCTCACTGGTTAGGAATCCGGAATCAACGCATAACCCTCTCCCTTTTTTCTTTTCTTTTCCCTCCCCCGCGCTGCTGCCTAACCCCCCCATAATCTCACTAGAGGGTTTCAGGGACGCAGAAGCACTTTTGACAAGAAACCGACCTCCGAGTCCTGTTGTTGCTTCAGGAAGATTCGATTCGAAAGACACTAAAGAAGTTTCTCGTGTTGGGATTGGTGTGAGGGAAGTTCCTAACCAGCCAAAATGACGTCCGTACGTACGCCAAATCAAAATAAATCGAAATAACTGCCGAATTCGGAAAGGTGACCTCCAAATCCACAGATACGGCGAACCGCAGAAAATGTTTATAGTAAAAAAGTGGAGCTGCGGTTCGCCGGATGAATGGATTTGGAATTCGCGTAGGACCAATCAAAACGCTCGAGCCTGTCGGTCCGCTGACTCAATCCGTGGCTTCACGAATCTCTAACTCTAATACATTGGATTGTTGGGTCGAAGCGAGCTACTAGCTAGCTAGTACTAGTAAAGGTACTCTAGCTACTAGCTGGCTGGCTAGCTAGTACCAACAGACCCATCGCGCAACCAAGAAGGTTAACAAGCAACCTAAGGGTAACCTTCAAGCTAATACTTTTGTATGCTTGTTAGCCTTCTTGTTTGTGGACATGGGTCTGTTGATAGCTAGCTAGCCAGCCAGCTAGTAGCTAGCTGGCCATCGCTTCGTGGTACACCGGTAAGGATAGTGCAATACCAGCCCTGCTTACTTAAACCAATTCGGGTTGGAGGGAGTATTGTATGTGGCTTCGCGTACCGCGTATCTCCTCCGGTTGGTTAAGAATGAAGCCACATACGCGAACGACCAATTAAAATAAATGTGTTTCTCGGCGTACGTACGAACACATGTTCGCGATAGGAACTTACCTGAGGAGACCCTACTACAGATGGGCAGCAGAACGTGACCCTGATCTGATACTTCTATCCAGATTCTGCTTGTCTAATTTGGGCATTAAGGCGAGAGCTATAATGCTGGGCACCAGTATCTGATAAGGTATCTACTACCAGGTAGCTAGAGGCGAGTCTACGAAAGCTGGCTGGGGGGGCCAGGTCACGTCTCTATTCATTTATCCTACGGAGCCTGGCTAGATCTTATTGCGTCCAAGATGTGGTTGAATTGATGAGAACGCATTCTAGCTGGCTAGCTAGCTAGCTAGCTAGTTCACAACCTCACTGGTAAAGACGAAGACCACCACAAGCAACAAAACCAGCCAGCAGCTGTCCCGAAGAAGTCAGGAAGCTGACTTGGGTCGATAAGGGATGTAGAAGTTGCCCTTCTGGTGACGACGAGGCTTCGCCTTCCGTCTCGAAGCAACAGTTCGATGCAGATGGCTCGAAAGCTGGAACCTTTTCTCCTCTCAAGTCATAAGTCAAAAGTACCAGTAACAGTTGATGAAACATCGCTCGTTGCGCACAGAATCGCACGAGGCAATCGAGTCTACGACGAGAAAGCTACCGAAGATAGAAGCGAGCTGGGCAGTGTGGGCACCCTACCGCCAGCATACGTGTTGCATCTCCCTATCTCCTACCGTACCGGCACAACAAGCGATCATAGAATACATGTAGCTCATTCACATGTTCAGCATGCATACTGGAGCACAGGTACAAGATAGCAGCCGATCATTAGATCTTTAAGGACTTAGGAACGGTTGTGACGTGGCCCAGATTAAGAAAGTTACCAACCTCCCACAAAGAAAGCAGCAGCTTTCTACTTTCTTATTGCTGAATTGTCGTCCGAACTTACTATTCGTGCTTTCTAACTACTAAGTAGAATATATCTTACTACTGGACTCTCCTTCATGGCCATCTAGAGATTTATATGCATACACGAATATAGAAGAAAGTGAGCCCGTACCATTTGAATTTAGGCGCGTTTATTACTGCTTAACTAAGGGTATACTCGACAGTGCTAAACCATACCCACCCAAACTCGTGTCTCAAACAACACAATCAAGTCACACCGAGATCCCAACACAGGACCCTGGGAACCTTTCACACCCACCACAACATGCAATGGAGGATGAACCAAGATGAATCAGAATGCAAATAGAATAAAAGGTAAATGCTCAATACGACCAGCTGCCAGTTGAGAGGAGGACGCCACCAAAAGATCCAACCGAGGCACCAGCACCACTGCCATTATCTTCATTGTCATTGTTGTCATCTTCATTGTCATTATCTTCATTGTCATTATCTTCGTCACCATTAACAGTGTCTTCTTCTTCCTCATTTTCCTTGTCGCTGCCACCAGTCTTCTGCTTCTTCTTTGGGCTCTCATCATTGTCTTCCTCTTCTTTTTCGTCCTGGTTGGCTTCGGATTCTTCGTTTTCTTCTTCCTCGCCATCGGAAAGGTCACCATCGGAACCACTGGAACTTTTCTTGGCCACTGGGTCTTCGGGATTCTTTTCTGGGGAGTCATCTTCGTCATCGGTCTCTTCAGTGGCCTCCTGGGACAAGTGCCATTTCTTCGAACGGAGCAAGATTTCATCTTCAGAACTACTGGCCCCTGGTGAGTTCTCGCTACCACCAGAACTTGAAGTGTCATCCCTGTTGGTTGAAGGGCTGGCAACTGGCGATTGCACAGTGTCACCAGAAGTGATGTCAGTACCGCTTGTACCGCTTGAAGAACTAGGTGAGGTGTCTCCACAGCCGACAGCTTGAGGGTAACCAAAAAGGGAAACTCGACGGAAAGGAGTACGGGTTCCCACAGAATCTGATGTGGCAGAGGAAGAGCCAGTGGGAGAGGAACCAGTCGGAAGATTGTCAATTCGATTGAGTGTGGCAGTGATAGGATCACTGTCCTCATCACTTCCAAACTGATCGTCCAATCCTTCGCTGTACAGGTCCACCTCTCCAAGGAAACGGTGGTAGGCGTGCATGTATTTCTCCTCGTTGAAGCCGAAGGCTTCACAGAAAACGGTGGTGAACCTATTCTCAAGGAAGGGATCAGGAAGGATGATCTTCATCTTCAAGAGTCGGTTCAAGAAGTCCATGTCAAGTGGTCCATTGATGAAAGGAAAGGGCGAACGATTCCCATCTTCGTCCACGTATTTGACAAACCAGGTACCGGTAATGTCATACGCATAAACGAACTCACCAATCTTCTTCTTCCCATCTTTGACACGAATGGCATTCACTCGGAGAAGCTTGTTCTGGGCCTTGCGAAGGAGATCGAATCCGACCATCTTGAGCTTGTTAAGGACGTATTCACAGTAATCCCTGTCTTGCTGGTACTGGTCCAAAGTAACGTGCTGGACCACACCATCAAGGTTCTTCAAGGGGTCCACCACAGGCACAGGTTCGTCTTTTCGGAGATCAACAATGAACGAGTCTTCCTCAGGGGGAAAATCCTCATTGTCACGGGGTGCTTGGTTGGGATCCATCTTCAATGTCGATAAGTGCAGAGGCAGGATGCAGTTTCTTCTTGCTGGACGAAGAGTCGCAATTGTGGCAGAAAGTGAATGACAATCTACTCGCCCTCACGTGAAAGCCAGAGCCTGAATTGCAGTTGGAGTGTTGGCATTGCAATTTTTGCTCTCCGACTCCTCCAATGACATGGAGGACTCAACAAACATGAAACCAAAAATTGGTTGCTGCCGATGTTTGGAATTTTGACGCCACTTCTTGTGCATGCAAAGGGAGTGGTCTATTGGTTCTTATAGGTACTACACTGGAGTCGAATGAGGTCATGTCTGATGAATAGATAGAACAACGTTTGCCTATGAATAGATTGAACAACGTTTGCCTATAAATTAAAGATTGTTCTCTTTTGATACGTCCTTCATTCTTCCAGCAATGGACTTCAAGACAGAATAGTGCCTGTTTTCGCTGTTACCGCCCAAGACCAATCCACGATACTGCATTGGATTGTCATAGAACGAAGTCAGTGCATCCAGTAAACTTTGCGGGTCCATGCATGAAGCCTTCTTTTCACCGTTTGGAGGGAACAGCTGCAGGTATGTCACTAGTCGGACCAGTTGCCGTCCATTCAAGGTGCCTAGATAGGCATCGAACGACTCCAGCATTTGGGATTTGCATCTCCTTTTCTTCGAAGGGCAAAGTCCACTCTGGTACATTCGCTTGCTGTTTCCTCTTCCCTGTGCTTTTGCTGCATCCCCTCTGGCGTTGGCATCAGACTTACGTAAAATCTCCAACCGACTGTGTAAGAGCCCATGTTTACTGCGAAGGAAGATTGCTCCTGGACAGGAATAGCCTAGATGTTTTACGCAGTCTTCACAGTCACCGACGATGTTGCCTTGCTTCCACTGTAAGTGACAAACGGTTCGAGTTGCGCGAATCATAGCATCTGCCACAAGGTCGTCTCTCGTGGACTTGCCTTCTTCCCGAAGCTTCCTTGTAAATGGTCCAGGATCTCCATCCAGTGAGGCTTGCAATAGTCGAATACGAGCTTTATCGATTGGGACACCGATCTTGTATTTGAGGTTGCAAAGCCAACTCGATGGTTTTCCGAACTCATCCTTACCAACACCGACAATGTCGATTCCTTCCTGCACGAAGCCAGTAATTCCAACAGCCAGAACAGACGCAGTTTTGGGTATCTCGATAGTGCACGGATCACTCCTACTGATTGCGTCTTCTTGCAATAGTCGAGGAGCTGTGTGCACTAAGAAGGAAGACAGTGATGCGTTCTTCGTACAGTCGGTTGCAACACTCTTGATACCATGCCGGTTAAAGCTTTCGTTGGGACAGTTGGATGGATAGACACCAACCTCTCCACTGCACGCATAATTCCAATTCCATCGGGGGTAACAGCAGTATTCCTTTTCGAGGTGGTCGGCGGCCTCCTTCTCTTTTCTGTTATTCCTCCAATCATCCAGGTACAGCTTGGTTAGCGTGCGTCTCTGTTCTACTGTCTTGCTGCTTGCAATGTTGATTACGTGCCGGTAAGCAGTGCCCTTTGGAGCACCGAATTCCTTGTCCTTGATTTTTTTCACGTAGCTTTTCTTCTGGGCAAATGCATGCACCACGTGAAAGAAGCAATTTAGAACAGCTTCACCTTGTATGCAGTCATCGTCGCTGTCTGTATGTTCGCTGTTATCGTCTTTCGTCGAACCAGCTTCCTCCAGTTGCGTTAGAGGAATGCAGTGTGGATCTTCGATGGACTCGATGTCGTCTAGATCTTCCTCTTGACGGGTACGAACAATATTTTCACATGCGACTCTGCCGTCACAGAGTGTTGGATTCTTCTTGAAGAAGACATGTGCTGACACAAAGGTATCGGCATCATCAGATGTGCCCCAGTCCAGCTTGAACTCTGTTCCAAAGCATCGAAAGCAAAGATCTCTCATTGCGTACAGCGAGAGCAAGTATGGGTGGAATCGTTCGCCTCCAGCACGTAGGTACAGAATCGGTCTGAACGATGAAGTGACCTCTTGATCTGTTGTGCGAAGCTTCACAGAGACACTTCCTACTGTGATGAGGCAACTCTTGTCTCGAATCATTCCACCAGTGCCATCACAACAGAGCTGTCTGGTTCCTTTTCGTCGCAGAGCAAGATGCATGAGTTGAAAGAGACCACCTGGTGAGAACACAATGAAAGCACCCTCGATTCTCTCATCCAGATCCTGCTGTGGGACTTCTTCGTGTTGCATGACGGTGTCTCGATAGCGTCTGACGATGTCACCACCTCCAATATCCATCGTGTACATGTGTTCTGAACCTGACTTGTTGTTCATGAATGGAACTCCAAGTGCTGTTGCCAACTCATCAGCACTTCTGTAGTCACTTCGTGGCCTGTACGTACTCGGCAGAACCAATCTCCAGTGAGAGATTACTCTCATGAGTACATCATTGCTTCGTAGATCAGAGTGTCCAAATAGTTTCTCCTTTACAAAAGATTCGCGTTGGTTTGCTATGTAATTCCGAAGCTGTCGAGTAAGGTGCTCGCGTGCCTCACGATCAACAAAGTGGTACCGGTGCTCAAGATAAGCAACATCACTTCGAATCACAGTTCCCACAGCCTTCAAAACTTCCTCGGCAGTGATACGGAGAATGCATCGTCCACGTACTGTCTCATCTGTCACAAATTTCATGACAGCAGGCATCAGAGCAGGAGCGATTCCATATTGATCCTTGCAGTTGTCCGGTTTCTTCTGCATCGCATGGTTGTGACTGGTGTTTGCATGTCTTGTAAAGTTGCGGAACCTCCTGGAAGACATGGATTCGTCTCCGTAGTCTCTTGTTTGTGCTCTCCAGGGACACCTAGGTTTGTCTTCGTCATCCTTGTCACCGACTCTACAGCAGAACTTGTAAACTTTGGTTCCATTCTTCAATTGGAACGTCCCATCAGGCCTCAGACATTGCTTGCTAATGCCATTGATATCCACAAATCCACCATATTTGTCAATCAATTGGGACTTGGCTTCTTCCTTTGTAGAGCAGGGGAAACCCATGGAGTCTTCTCGATATTCCCCTGTCTGCCCTGCTGTGGCAACTGACACTTCGGAGTTCCTGGTAACGCGAGTTGCTCTTGGTGGTCTAAAATCACGGTTGGTAACTGGTGGTCTGAAGTCATTCTGGGGATGATACGGTGCATAAGAATACGGTGGCGGTGGTGGCACAGTTGGCTGTAACTGTCCGTATTGGGGATATCCGTACTGGGAATACTGGTGATGCTGGTGATGCTGATAATACAAATGCCAGTATGCGCTAGGATGCTGGTTCCCCCCATAGCCATTTCTGTTCTGTGAAGTCTGGTGGCTAATGTTCAGCTGATTGTACGGTGGGGGTGGTCGTCTCCACGACATGGCGATGCTGTGTCTTTCGCCAATCAAGTAACAGCGATTGAATCTGCGATCTGCGATTCTGCGATCATAAATGGAAGTAACTACGTTTTAATTGACTACATGACATACACAACTAAGAACCATTCCGATATCGCCAACTCCAAAAATTGAGTTTCACGGTCGCAAACACCCCATTTGGGTGGGCTTTACAGCCATTTCCAACAAGGATTTTTCTTCATTCATCTCCAAATTGTGAGTTGCCCACAACAGAGGCAGCATGCTGGAGTCGCTGGCTACCCACATTCCTGCGACTTAGCCAATGGCTACGAAACACGAGGAGTGCCGACTCTGGCGCCATGGATTCCAAGTTTTCATGTGAAGTACGTCGCTCGGCAGATTCATTTTTTCATTGTCCGTATTCCTCCAACCAACACCATGATGATCGGTGGTCCTTTCTGTGGAGAAATGACAATTTCATGTGGCTCTTGTTGCTACTGTTGTCTTCCTTGAGTGAGGTGCGGTGATGTCTGCCCTGATGTGCAGATGTGGACTGGTACTTTTGCATCTGCCAATTAATCTGGTTGCTTCTTCGTCATATTGCACAGGGCCTTGCTGTGTTGATGTTGGGTGGATGCAGGGATCTGTGTTGGTCTTGGAAAATCAATCACGTTTGCTTTCCTTGGTAAGTTGTCCTCCACCTTCAATCGTGCTTTTCTGCCAAGCCTGCCTCTGTCGCCTGACTCGCCCTGTCTTTGTCTCATTTTTTGCTCGACAGGCGCTGTGGCCAATGTGTATGGCCAGGACCACACAATTCCCTACTAAGTAACTAATATGGGTAACGGTGTGTGGTCCAAACTCCAATCTAACAATCTAACCAACGAACACAGAATGCTGATGGTAAAAGGACTGTTAAACCAAGAAGCTCAAAGAAGAGAGCCTTTAAACCATAAATCAGAGTTGAACATACAAAACCAGCTCAAAACCGGATTGTTGCAGCAAAGTTCATCGCCACATCACCACATCAACAATCGAGCGACCACGTCAGACAGTCGTAGCATTAAGGGAAAAATCTGAGCACTCTTCGTAGCTCTTGGACTATATTTCTACCTTGGTTTCAAGAGATCGTAGTCTACTAGTACTATGACATGTAATGTCAAAAAAGATGCTACCAGTACCGGTACCACCCATACCTGGAACGATGCAAGAAACCATACGGTACGGTGTACCGATAGAGGGTAAAGATACCGTCCTACGGGTCCTTCTTGCTACCTGGGCTCAGCTAAAGTGACGTGTACGAAAACAATCTGGGCAATGTTTCCAAGACAGTTGAGTCGATTCGGATCAGTCAGTGAACCGGATCAATCAATCAATCTGCTCGTTGTTGCAGGATCCGTGTGACAGAGCAGATAGACCGCAATCCCAGATCTGCGCAAACCGTTTGCCATTGAGGGTCAATACGAATGTTGAAGAATCGTATTATTTGAGCACAGACTCTTGCAAATAACTGATGATATTTGTACCTATTACTTATTCAATATCTGGTTGCTTGCTCGTGAGGCTGGAGACTACTTCCCACCTGGTGTGGCCATTAGCTATTGGGGAAAAAGAGGAGCACCGGTAACAGAACCAGGGAACGACTCTGTTTCAGCAGAGATACCCAAGCCCAGAAAAACATGCAATCCTTCATCCGCAGCTTTATCTGAATAGAATCTTATATTCAAGGCCAAGAAATAAATGTTCGTCTTCTTGCCAGTAGGTATCATGCTAGGAGTTTGAAAGGTCATTTCGAAAAGTTCAACTAGAAAGACTTCACCTTCTGAGTTCTGCGCGGCATTTGCATTGCTGAAACGGAATTAAGCTTTTCCTGGAAAGGTGCGACAAAGATGAGAATGGGCAATTAATTGATTCAACACCCCCAACCCGCCAATGCTCGTCTTGGCTTCTTACAGTTCTTTTCCAATATTGATGATGACTGGGACCTAAAGCCTAAAGACATACCACTTTCCAAGCTAGCTATCCAGTAAGCTCCAGGAGGATCGTTGCTTGCTTGAATGAGTTTTCGCTCTGAGTGTGACTGCTGTGCTTGCTGTGGTTGCCGCCACCAATGGCTGGGTTCATCCTTATTATCGCTTCGCCGCTCTCTGGGTCACATACATTTTCTCAAGTAAAGAGACCACAACATCACAGGCGCACATAATTTATTTTTACATTTCCAAAACCACCAAAAACTTTTACCCTCCAGAAAATAGAGAGCAATCAAACACAATCCAGCGAAAGCTTCCAGCATGAACGATCAGAACATCACGACCATGGGCACCGCCATGAAGGCCGTCCCTGAATCAGACATGGAAGACAAGTCCTCTATGAGACACAGCACTACTAGCAGCGGCTGCGATGATACCTCTGGCCGCAGTTGCTACGCTGAGGAGGCCTCCAAGTTCTCTTTGGCAGGCTCCGAGACTACCCGGATCAATCGATCCAAGTTTGCCCTGTTCTCGGTCATTGTCACAGTGGCCCTGTTGTGCAGCATTGTCACCTACAAGATCATACGAGACCAAGAGAACAGAGAGTACCATGCCAAGGTAAGACAAGACAAGTCAAATGCTTCTGATCTGGTCTGATCTCCTGTCCTCTAACTCTACCCCGCCTCTCTTCTTTTGTGTCTACAGTTTCATAACATTGCCAATGAGATTGCCGAGTTCTCGCAGCTAAGAGCAGACTACGTGGTCAACAACTTGGAGCGGTTTGGGGCTTCTCTGACATCCTACGCTCGAGATCAGAACATGACCTGGCCCTTTGTGGCCTTTCCTGATTTCCAAGTCAGGGGAATCCTGTCCAATAAAGAGACTGGCGCCCACACAGTGTCTATCAATCCTCTCGTCTACCCCAAGGATCTCGATAACTGGAGCACCTTTAGTGCCAACAACCAGGGGTGGATGGCAGAAGCGCATGTCTACGACCATGTGGTCCACAAAGAGTTGTACGAGCTAGACTATCACGAGACAACCTATGTACACGACGAGACTGTACGGTGGAATGTCACGGGCATTACACCCTATATCTGGGAGTATCAAAAGGATCCCTATGCTCCCCGTCAACGCGTCTCCGAGTCGGTCATGTACGCTCCGATTTGGCAAAGAGCACCGCCGTGTGACTATGCCACACAAGTCAACCTGGACCTGCGAACGTATCCGGCCTTTACCGGTTTTGTCGATGGCATGCTGGCGGCGGATCATCCGGTGATCACAACCGTGGTGGATGCCACTTATCTGGAAACCAACTATGACTTTCGATTTGATCCTGCAGAACAGGAAGAGCCACACAGCTACATGCTGGAACCGGTCTATGACACCTTGACCACCAACCGCACTGCCGTGGCGTTTCTTTCGGCGTTTCTCCGATGGGGGACCTTCTTTACAGATGTCCTTCCCAGCACCGAACAAGGCATCTTTGTGGTCTTGGAGAGCAGCTGCAACCAGACGTTCACCTATGAACTCTTTGGGCACAAACCGGTATACCTTGGAGAAGGAAACCTACATGACACTGGCCTTGATAGCGACAAGTTGGAGGACACGTTTGAGTTTGCACCAGATATTGCCATGGAAAAGGACAGCGGCCATGAGTTCTGCCACTACTATGCACACATCTACCCATCCACCCAATGGCGAGATCCTTTCTTAACTTCCAACCCTCTGAACTATTCGATCGCTGTCTTTGCCTGCTTCCTGGTCACGGCCTTGGGTTTTGTCATGTATGATGTATTGGTGCAGAGGCGTCAAGCCATGGTGATGAGGTCTGCTGCCAAGACCAATGCCATTGTCACTTCGCTCTTTCCCGCCAACGTGAGAGATCGATTACTGGATGATGCCGAAACTGAACTCAACAAGGCCCAACATAGAGCCTCATCGACGGAGGCCTTTATGAACGATGGAAGAATCAAGGAAGGACCCGACGGCACGAGAAACGAGTACGCCAGCGAATACATTTTCGGATCCAAACCTATTGCCGATCTATTCCCAGAAACGTAAGTTGCATTGGTTGCGCCACCCGTGCTTGTGTGATGCAGCGATGGACTCACTCACAATCCGAATACTGTGCACCGGTGTACGCAGGACAATTATGTTTGGTGACTTGGTTGGATTCACAGCCTGGAGCTCAACACGGGAGCCCGCTCAAGTATTCACTCTCTTGGAGGTACGTACGCAAAGTAGACACCATGAACTGACAGTCGCCATGGAGGAATCGAATCTTACGGTGACCCGTTACTTTCCAATTATAGACTTTGTATCACAGCTTTGACAATATTGCCAAGCGACGTCGAGTCTTCAAGGTGGAGACTGTGGGGGATTGGTAGGTGCAGGAATGCAGGCTGCAACTGCTTTGGTTTTCGTCGCTTACTAACCTACACGTTGACTCGACTCCAGCTACGTAGCCGTATGCGGACTCCCTGATCCACGAAAAGAACACGCTACTGTAATGGTGAAATTCGCCACTGACTGCCTCACTAAGATGCTCGCCTTGGTTCGCCGAATGGAAACATCTCTTGGACCGGACACAGGTGGGTCGACCCGAAGCGGCACCAAGTAAACGGCCAACCGATGCTCTCGTCTCATGTTGTCATCTTTCTTGCAGGCGATCTTTCAATGCGCATTGGGCTACACAGTGGACCAGTCACTGCAGGAGTCCTCCGAGGTGATAAGGGTCGGTTCCAATTGTTTGGGGACACCATGAACACGGCAAGCCGCATGGAGACAACTGGGGAACCTGGGAGGATTCATTGCTCCGAGGAAACAGCTGAGATCCTTATGTCTGCTGGTAGATCGAAGTGGTTGACCCAGAGAGAAGATCAAGTCATTGCCAAGGGCAAAGGGGCCTTGACCACCTACTGGCTAAAGCTCCAATCAGAGTCCCATGCAACTGGCTCGAACATGACCAACAACACACAGAGTAGCGAAGGCGTCGGGGTGGACTTGCCAGAAACCGCCGCACTTAACAAGGCTCTTCACCTTGGGGGCACCAGTGAAAGGCTCCTAGCAAAGCCAGCCTTCAACAAGATCTCCAGCAAAGAGAAGCGTTTGGTCACGTGGAATGTTGACATTTTGGTCAAACTTTTGCAGCAGATCATGGCGCGGCGGCTATCACTAGGGGAAGCACCTGCAAAGTTGAGCCGGCAGGTCACCACTGAAATGACAAAGGAACCAAGGAATGTCCTTGATGAAGTGGAGGATGTCCTTGCTTTGCCGCAGTTTGATGCCCGGACTATTCGAAATCAGGTGGACCCCAAGTCGATCAAGGTTCCAGAGCCAGCGGTGCAACAGCTCACTGAGATGGTCACACAGATTGCTCAACTTTATCAAGACAACCCTTTTCATTCATTCGAACACGCCAGCCATGTGACTATGAGTGTCACAAAACTGATGAGTCGTATTGTTACCTACACCTCCAACAATCCAGCCTCCACGACTGACACTCCATCTGACACGGAAGTTGGCGACATTTCCGAAAGCAGAATTGCTGCGGAGCTGCATGATCACACTTTTGGGATAACCTCCGATCCTCTAACTCAGTTTGCATGCATCATTTCTGCCTTGATTCATGATGCTGGTAAGTCCCTACAATTGTGATGCTGGCTGATCCTGCTGCACCCACACATTTGCATGTAGATACTCACCACAAAGTGTATACTCTGTTGTCTGCAGACCATCCTGGCGTTCCCAACTCCACTTTGGTGAAGGAGGAGCATCCTCTAGCTTCCAAATACAAGAACAAAAGTGTGGCGGAGCAGAACTCTGTCGACCTGGCGTGGAGGATTGTAACCAACCGTGATTTTAAGGATCTGCATGCCTGCATCTACAGCAGCATGGATGAATTCAACAGGTTCAGGTCAATCGTCGTGAATGTGGTCATGGCAACGGACATTATGGATAAGGACTTGGGTACTCAGAGAAAGGCCCGCTGGAACCGAGCCTTTGCCAAGGAGTCTGGTGAATTGCTCTTGGAAGAGGACCCCACAGAGGCTATCAACAGGAAAGCCACCATTGTTCTGGAGCATCTTATGCAAGCTTCTGATGTGGCTCACACAATGCAACACTGGGTCGTCTACAAGAAATGGAATGAGCGTCTGTTTGAAGAGATGTACAAGGCATTCAGTGAAGGCCACAGTGATAAGGATCCCTCTGAGGGTTGGTATCAGGGAGAACTGGGGTTCTTTGACTACTACATCATTCCACTTGCAAAGAAGCTTGAAACGTGTGGAGTCTTTGGAGTTTCCAGCCATGAGTACTTGAGCTATGCCTCTGCCAATAGGCGAGAATGGGCTGAGAAAGGGGAACAGATTGTCAAAGATTATTTGAACCGGTACGAAAACAAGTTCGGGAACCGAGAAAGTTGGGAGGATGAACGTTCGGTAGATGTGTAAAAGGGGTTGCTGCCGTCGCCTGTTCCCTCTCCAACGTCATTATGCATTTTACATAAATGGTTATAGAATACATTATTCTGTTCATACCGGTACCAACTAAAGCTTTATAACGGATATGGCCCCAATGGATGGATCAACACAGTGTGGGCCAAAGCCTTGAGTAGCTGCACCCGGCCCAGGAGGGGATTGGTTTCACATGGAACCACCACTGGTGCCCTCACCAGCACCACACTCGGAAGGAGCGATGGTGCAGTTAAGTTTACATGTAAATAGATGGCATATCTCGTGTGGATTGCCGCACATATATTGGCAATGAATTTGTGAACCATATTCTGTTCATGGCTATCTGCGTCCGTGTGCTGGCTGGGGTCGCTTGGTTCTGTCGTGCTGAGAGCCCTCGTTTTGTCACTCGTCTTTGAACTCCACTTCTCCTTTGGTGGCATCACTGAGCGATGCTTTGAGACTGGCCAACACTGCCAAGTCACAAGATATTGTCAGAGTGACAGATCCATCAGCAAGATACTCTTCCCTTGTCGTTACGGCTCCCACTTTGCCGACAGCTCCATAGACACCACCCACATGTTTCGACGGAAGGACCACCAGAAAAGACGCCGTCGGAAGTGTTTCCAGTATCGGCGCTTCTCGCAGAACTAGTCGAGCGGCTCCACCGTACGCTCGTATCAGCCCCCCGGCACCCAGCTTGATGCCACCAAAGTATCGCACGACGACGCAGACGACGTCGGACAAGTCTTCCCCTTGAATGGCTCCCAAAATGGGAGCTCCTGCGGTCCCCGTGGGTTCTCCATCGTCCGAGGATCGTTCCGTGACGGGATTTACTCCGCATTGGAATCCAAAACACCAATGGCGTGCTTTCGGGTGTTCCTGCTTGACCGTGTCAATATACGCCTTGGCATCGTCCCAATTACTGGCATGGCTGGCATACCCAATGAACCGACTCTTTTTTACTTCCATTTCCGAAATGTGAGATCCCGGCTCAAGTGTGCGAATGATGGTAGTGGCGTCTCCACTGCTCATACACAGTCGTTGTTGTGGAAGTTGTCTACATGTACTGGCGGATGGTCTAAAGGATGAGGTCCCTCGGAGGGCTGATATCAGTCCAGCCATGCTCATGATCATCACAAGAATGATCAGTGACCTTGATATCAGTGGACGTGGTGATGTTGAAACTGAAGATGATGATAGCGACGCCATGTCTCCCAAATTCAAGCTAGCTAGCCATACGGGCAATCTTTCTAAAGGATGTGATGGTCGTGGGTAGAGTAGGTTTTGCTGAGCATCGGACTTCGCTCCACTCCGGCTGGATTGAGAGGAAGATGCGGTAATTTTATCATTATTATCATTTTTAAACATTTGGTGAAAAATATAACGTTAACCTTTTGTTTACCTGAACTACCCGACTATAGTTTCTGTTCCTGATAACCTGTTCGGATCCAAACCAACCAACACCAACAACCTCCTTCATTCTTTGGTCTTTGGTCGCATTTATTTGAGATTAGTTAGATGAAACCATGGCGGCCACCAGTAGCAGTAGTAGCAGTAGCAACAACCAGGCCGTGGACAATCTCCAAAAGACCCCGGTGATTGTCCAGTGGACGCAGACAATTGAACTGGGATATGCCAGTGAGGACGCCGTTCCATCAAATTCACAGCCAGTCTGTTTTCGATGTGGCAAAACTTCCACCGCCAAACAACTCTCCAAATGTGCCCAGTGCCAAGTAGCGTCGTATTGCTGCAAGGAGTGCCAAGTTCAGGATTGGAAGGCCGTGAGCAAGGGAGGTGGTGGGCACAAGGCAGCCTGTGCGTCGTATGCACGCCTCGAGTTGGTCGTCCACAACAACAATAGAAGTAGTGCAGAGTGGCAAATCAAATCCGATGCCTTCAAAGAGACTGTGCGCAACGAACTCTTTGGTCGCATTCGCATCTATGCCTGTTCCTATGCCGTGCATCGCACCGCGACACTGGGAAAAGGATTTTTGTTCCTGCAATCGGACAGCACGTTGGCGACTCTCTCCACACCCACGCCCATGGCACCCAAAATAAAAATGCGAGCTCTGCTGATGCATTTTTTGACATTGGCCGAGTACGACTCGGAAGTCTGTCGCGATGATTTTGAAATGGCAGAAGTGAGAACCCAGCTCCAACACCTGGTCAACAATGATTACGACGATCAGAACGAAGTGGTCTTGCTCTTGCGATTTCGGTGTGGTCATGTGGCGTTGGGCAAGGGGACACTGGTGCCTGATTACGGTGTCTGTAAAGTGCTGGGACAGCAGTATTTTGAAACAACAACCGGGGCCGTGCAATTGAATTTGGATGACATGTAGTAAAGTAAACGATTTCAACTCCCATCTATTCTTCTAATTCAAATTCAATCTACACCTACCCCATACATGCCATGGTCAACACATGAGGTGCTTTCGACAGCAACAGAAAGACATCATTCAAACTGGCAGCAGGACTGCAGGCCGCCAACAAGAACGGAAACATGCCGTGTTTGCCATCGCGGTGTACCAAGGCATCCGGCCAGGCATGCACTAGAGATTCCAAACAAGGCAGGCCAATGGCCAAATGCAACGGCAACTGCCCGTCGGTGTCTCGAATGCCAGCCGCCGCTGGATGGGCTTCGAGTACGGCTTGGAGACGCAGTGTGCGCAAGTCTTCTTGTGGTGGATTGTTATTGGTTGTGTCATGGAGCAGCATGGTTGTCGTCGTCGTGGCCAGCAACGACTTGGCATGATTGGCAGCCGCATAGTGCAGTGGTGTGCGGCCCATCCGCCGGTCTTGTTGGGACAGCTGTGCGGGATACATTCGTAGAAGCACTCGAATGAGTCCCATGGGACATTCTGGCAAGGACATGGCGGCATGCAAGGCAATCCACTCGTTGGATGATGATGACATTAAAAAACGTTGTAGATCCAGCCATAACGGATCGTCCTTTTTGCTCTTGACATGCTGCAGAAGTTGTTGGAGTTCAGTCGACACGAGTACCTCGTCTGGTTTGCTACCCAAAGGAGCGGACACGGTGGCCAAAGACCAATCGGGGGTCACTTTATGGTTGCCTTTTTCCTGTTCTGCTGTGGCTACTGGCTTTGATTGGGAAGGAATTCTCCTGCTAAGCAGGTCCAGATCCTTCATTGAAAGTTGGAAGATTGTCGTGAGTGGCAGATCGTGGGTGGCTGCCAGTTGGAAGGGATACAGCTGCGATATCCCATCCCGTATCGCAATCGATTCTGGAAAGACATCTAGTAGCTCCATCAGGTGCAGGTGATGCCAGTGATTGCAAATGGCCCAGTGGAGTGGCAACCGACCGGAATGATCGGTGTGCCGCAGCGCTGCCGGATACTCCTGTACTAGCATCTTGCAACGAGCCAGCCTCGATTGTCGTTCCTGCCACACCGCCATCTTGTCATCCGAGCTAACAGTACGAGGAATGATGAGGATGATATGAAGTGGCAATCTCCCTTGATGATCTGGTGCCGACAGTTGATTGTGGAATTTCTCCAGAATGACTTGAAACAACTCGATGGAACAACCATCCTGAGACGCGGCAGCCGCTCGGTGCAAACTGCTTCCGTGGGGTGTCGTCGTCAGAGCCTGACCAGGATCCGTGCAGTATCGTAATACGAACAGCAACTTGGAAAACAGTTCATCATCATCATCATCATCATCACCACCATCCAAGAGTATTCTCGTTATCATTTGGTCGTCGCTGCCGTCATGGAGACTATCTCTGTAGGAATTCCACAGCGCCACAATGGCTGCCATGTCCAACGATGGAACCGACGGTCTGGCATGAGCGAGACATTGCAGAATTTCCAATGGCGCCCTTTTTCTCGCTGCTACTATCAGGGGTGAATTGTTGACTTGAGCGCCTTCTCGTTGCTGCTGTTTGTTTGTGGAGTAGTCATCATGACCATTACCATTCGTATAGAGATCGACAATGCCTTCCCACACGGCCGAGCGGTGGGCGTCGACCAATTCTTGGACCATGACTGTGGAAGGATAGTCATCAGTGCGTCGTGACAACGCCTTGTAGAGAACGGTCCGACCATGTTCATCCAACTTCTTGGCTTCCGGAGGATGGGAACGGATCCGTGCTCTCACCGCGCCCCATCGCACTTGAAAGGCCGAAATGTTGACACTGAGGACTGTCATTTCTCCCACATAGTGATTATTGCTGGCCGATTTGGCCTTTAAAAAGTCGCTGATGCTTCGACAGCGGCGGACCATGGTGGGTGGCTGACTGACTGACTGCAAAACTAGCTAGCTGTCGTAGCTAGCTAGAGAATGAAACTGGTTGTGCACTAGCTAGTATGGAGGTATAAAATTCGATTCAAGCCACAGAATAAGATAGATGAGGCCAACAGTCAGAAGATACCGTCGAACACATACATCAAAGAACAAAGAAAAGTCAGTGGGGGCAGATGAGCGTATTCAGTCATGATCCTGACGTCATGAGGCTGCTCAAACTCCCGAATGAACGGCGCCAGCACCAACTTCGCTCGAGAAAACCAAATATAAGGGGGGTTTAGAGTAGGGAGCTCGAGAAAACCTGGCTCAGCATCCACAACCTCGCTCACATGTACAGCAAAGCCACAAAACAGAGAGACTTTGATTAGCAGCCAACGTAACATGCCACCATCAGCTATAATATGCATAAAAAGAAAGCGAAGTCGCCACCGAAGGTGACAAAGGGTAAACAACGCAATGAGAAGTTGATCAATTTTGTCAGAGGAGAGCGAATAGGGACCACGTGGGTGGATAAACCGGCAAACATCCGACAGTCTCTGATCGACGAGGTTACCTACAAGGCGAATTGCATCGAGTGTTTCTAGCTATGACGGATTAGATAGATGGATCAGAAGAGTCTTATTATGGCCAGGCTGGCCTCCTTCGTGGTGAAAAACTTGTTCAGCCACCCACAAGTCTCAATCATCGCGTTGGGTAGTGACACCCGTAACAGCCCTTCACAACATTACGAACGACGGGTCCGGCGAACGCTACAAATCCTCGAAGATTTACACCTCCACACGACCTTCAAAAACTTTCTCGATTGAGTTCGGCGAGGGTGGGAGAACATTGCGAGGCGAAGACACTTTCACGTTGTCCGACGGAACCGAGGAGGAAGAAGCAATCATTTATTTGGGAATCGAAAGACAAGACGGCCGGAATCAATATTAGAGAAGCGACCCACTTTCTGACCAAGAAGCAATTGTCCTACGAGAAGGTTCCGGACGGTTTTGCGTTGGGAGTGGGCCAGAAAGTTGGCATGGCTGTTTTTCGCACGTTCGACATTGAGCCGGAAGATGCCGTTGCGCCACCAGAAACTGAAATGGTAGAAGTCTATGGAACAAAAAACATGACCTGCATTTACACTGGGGAGATCACAGAGGTCCACGCCCGCGGGTTGAGTTTTGAGCACTCCATTAACACCTTTTGTCGATGCTCTGGCGCTGTGATCTTTTTGCTGGAAGAGTACCAGGGTGGCGGCGCGGGCAAGGCATTGGCGATTCATGTTGGAGGACACCCCCACGACAGTACAAGGGCTAATGTTGCCTTTCGAATCTAGCGACAAGCGAGCTCATCACGTTGGAAGATTATCCGATCTGATACCGTATTATTGGTTGGTTTCATCATGATGCATTCCATGAACACTGTTGGGATTCTATGGGGCCTGAAGGCTGAATCTTGGCGATTGACTTACATCTATATCTACGGTGGGGAGGCAAATTAGGTCGGAAAAATTGAGTGGATGCTGGTATTGGAAGCTCCTTAACTGTAGCTAAATGAATTCATTTGAATTTGAACTAACTAGTTGGGTATTTGCATTGACTGATGGGGGACGGATTCCGCTCATTCGCCGTGGAGGCGAAACACTCAGTCTCCACCATTGTCGTATAATCTGAGAGAGTACTAGTAGCACAAAGGGAAGTTACTATCCACATTCTACAAGACAAAAGAATAATGGCGACAATGACGGATGAAAATTCTATTTGCAATGGTCTCCCTATGAGTGCGGAGGAGATGAGGGGTTATTTACAGGATTATTTTGGAAAACCTGTGGCATTGAGAAAGCTGGGTACTACTGAAATTTTATTAAATGCCTCTACTGTGGAAAAATTCACGAACATGGACTTGAGGAGGGAGGACAGCATGTCGAAGCAAAATGTGATGATGAGGATAGATCCGTTGTTGTTGGTGTTGTTATTGGCCGGAGGTCTTTTCATTGGAACTATGGATACACAATTATGGAGTACGAGGAGAAGAATGGGGTGAACCGGTTGATTGGTTGTTAGGAGTACTAGAGCGCTTAATTAGATATTTTAGTATGGATTGTTGGCTTTTGTCTGTTTTCCGAGCTTTATTTCTTATTAACGTTCTTGCCCTCAACGGACTGAGGGTCTTTCACACTTTTATCGCTGTATGTGTGTGTGTAGGTGTGTGTACGTGAGTGCTGTGTGAGATGTGTGATGTTGTGTGAGATGTGTGTAGACACTACTAAGAGTTAATCTACGACGAATCTACCATTGGATGTTTATCCATGGGGTATACCGTTGCTTGCTGATTTCCAAATTCTGAGCTTAAGAATTTCGCTGTTTGCTTCATCAGTGGAGCAAGCTGGGGATGGCAAAAGATACAAGCCGGGTAGGCTGTGAGAAAAGCAAGGGTACCCTGTTTGTGGTGATTTCGAAAATAGACACATAGGAGCTGGTACGGTATAGACCGAGACCAAGCTAAACTAAACCGTAAATCCAATACCTCGATGGGCTGGATGTGTGTGTGTGGGTGTGTGTGTGTAGGTGTGTGGGTGTGTGTGCCATGGCTCCCCGACAAGCCTCTAATCCAGAAAGGATGAGACGGGGGAGCCATCTAGTTCTGGAACCTTCCTGTAGGACAGTAGGTTACCAAGGTTGGGGGGCCTGGAGTAGGCTACAATCATCCTATCCAGTCCCATTGGCATGTTGCCTCGCATGGGGCCCACTGTGTGTGGGATCCGGACATGCTTGAAGGGCATCAGGTTCGTGGGATTGGCAATGCAATCCCTCCAGCCTTGCTGGAAGACCTTTGATGGGGGATCCTTGGGGTGGTATTCCAGGTGCAGCAGCTGGATTCCCATGGTGTCCCTCTTGTTGTTGTTGGGCTGGGGGCCAGTGTAGGCCCTTGCCCTGGTGATTGCTGCTTCAAAAAGGGGCCTAAGTGTGGTGGCTTGGTAGCCCCTGGCCAGGAGCCTCTTGAAGAAGAGCTTGGTCCTGGCGAGCCTGTCAGTCTCCTCAGAGCAGAGTGTATAGATCCTAAAGAGGTTGCCATACACCACTCCAGACAGGAGGCCTGGTGGGTGACAGGAGTGGGATGGGATGTAGAGATACAAGTTGGTTGGTTTCTCATACAGTGTGGTGACCAGTTTGTTGTCATGTGTGAGGGTGAGCGTCATGTCCATGAAATCCACCTGACTGGAGAGTTCAGTGAACTCCCAGTGCAGCTTGTACTCATTGTTGTTCATTGCCTTTTGGAAGCCCCCCCACAGGAGCTGGTGTCTTCCATTCGGCAGTGCATATGCCGAAGACATCATCGATGTATCTCCTGTAGAGCTCAGAACTGCAAGACTATCCATGAAGGATCGAAGCAGAATGACTCCAGGATGGCAAAGTAGATGGTGGCATAGGTGGGGCTGGTGGGGCTCCATTGCAGTGCCCTTGAGTTCCGCCATGTGGTGTCACCAAAGTGGAAGAAGCTCCATCCATAATGAGAATCAGTGCCTTGAGGACTGCCTTGTGGGCAGGTCTGGGAACTGTCTTGGTTGTCTTTGAGCCACTTTGAGATCTTGGTGTGGCTGTCCTCGTGGGAATGTTGGTGTACATTGAGGAAGCATCAGTGTGAAGAGTTTGCAGTGGGTGGTAGCTGCAGGACATGAGCTCCTGTTTGAGAACGAAGGAGCTTTTCAGGTAGATCTCATTGACTGAGCAACGGCTGAAGCTTGGAGTCAACCAGATGCCCAGCCCCTCCAGCAGGCTCCACTGTAGGAGACAATGGGCCTGGTTTTGAGGGGTTTTGTGGACTTTCATTGTCAAGTAGAAATAAGCAAATGGTTCTCATTCTTCTTCATCATAGTTTGAGGAATTTTCTCTCCTTTTCAGTGCAGGCAGTGCTGCATAGTTCTTGAGCCACTTAGGAGACGCTGTTTCACTTTGTCTTTGTAGTGCCCAACCTTGTGGGTGGGATGAATTCATAGGTGTTTCATCATCAAGGTGGTCGCGGAATGTGTTGTGTGTGTGTGTGTAGGTGTGTGTACGTTGAGTGCTGTGTGAGATGTGTGATGTTGTGTGAGATGTGTGTAGACACTACTAAGAATTAATCTACGACGAATCTACCATTGGATGTTTATCCATGGGGTATACCGTTGCTTGCTGATTTCCAAATTCTGAGCTTAGGAATTTCGCTGTTTGCTTCATCAGTGGAGCAAGCTGGGATGGCAAAAGATACAAGCCGGGTAGGCTGTGAGAAAAGCAAGGTACCCTGTTTGTGGTGATTTCGAAAATAGACACATAGGAGCTGGTACGGTATAGACCGAAAACAAGCTAAACTAAACCGTAAATCCAATACCTCGATGGGTGGATGTGTGTGGTGTGTGTGGTGTGTGTGTGTGTGGGTGTGTGGGGTGTGTGTGTTTGTTGCACTGTTTTGGTCACATAGGGGACACTTTCCTCGTTAGGATAGGGATTAATATTGTTTGTTCGTGGACACAGTAGTTTCAACATATGGGACCAGTTCTGGCTGGCTATGCAGACTCCTAGTGTGTCCAGATAAACACGGTAAGTTTTGCCAAAGACATAAGGGACATTTTTCTTGTTAAGGATAGGGATTATATTGTGTGTTCTGTTTGACACAGTACTTTGGACCCTACTGGCTGGCTATGGAGACTTGCTAGTGTGTCCAGTTGAACACGGTAAAGGATTTGGCCAAAGATGTTAGATTCGATTGGGGAATCCAATCAAATCTCTTTTTGACAGTTGAGGGCATCAGCCTCGGCTGCTTGTTCTTCGAGAACAGGAGGAGAACCTTCGAACCTTCTTGTAACAGGGAAGATCATTCTATTATCACCGACTGAAAGAGGCATTATTTTTTTTTTATGAGCGAGAGGTGTATTGTTGGATTGGCTGGCTTGAGAGGTGGTTTTTCAATGCTCGGCTGGTGGGTCGTTCCGTGGTTCTCGAGACGTATTTGTCTGCATTTGTTTTCATACGCTTCTCTAGCCAGGTCTCCACTGCTTTGTTGAAGGCTTTGTTAAGCATCTGAGGTTCTGTATGGTATTTGCCATAGGCTCTGTTGAGGAGCTTTTGGAGGTGTGTACTCGCTAAAAGCTAGTGTAAAATTTTCGAGTGTTTTGTTTGAGGAATGAAAGTTATAGAGATTAGAAAGCTATAAAACTAATCAACGAGAGAATCACCATCAAGGGATCGTAGATCTTGCTCCCGTGGGAGACTATAAAGTGTGATAGAGTAGGTTGCGGTAGTAATCCTACGTATCTCCACGATCCTAAAACGGAACGCGTGGAAGATTCGTCTAGCATGGACTAGTAGCGTGGAAATACTCCCGCTGGTAAATATCTAGAGCGATGTTTCATCGTCAACCTAGTATGACTAGAGCGGTCATTGAGAACCCTGTCTCAAATGACTATACGAGAGACTCAGTCATGAGTCGAACTCAAACCCTATCTAGGATCGAGGCGAATAAGGTAAGAGCCGTGTATTGCATTCGCCCCCTGACAAGGTCACGAAGGCGCGACGCAGTCGGACAAGGAGAACATATGATTTAAAGTGCGGGGCACTCTCATGAGATTGGAGTAGACATGTGCGTCGCACGATGGCAATCCTACAAGGGGATCAGGCCTTGTATGGGTGTATATACCTTATGTTCCAAGTCTGGTAGACTGTGCCGCCATTGGCGGTAGCATGTCGGAGCCGTACAGTGCCATTGTCATTGACTCGGTCTATAGTGAAGGACCTTTGTACTTTGGCTGACCGTACTTGCGGTGCTGATACTGTTGAATCATCACGTATCGTTGAATTGTATGATGAGGGACACGCTCGCGTTTTCCCTATCTTGTTCTGTTGGATTAGTCGTTGGCGACGTTCCTTGATGTACTTCCAGTTTGCTTCGAAACGGACGTTGTGAATCGCTCACGATTGAACATGAGCTGCGCAGGCGTTGCACGCAAGGTGGTATGAATCGTTGCATTCATTGCAAAGCGAACCGCCGTGAGGACTCCATCCCAGGATCCATTCACGAGGTCGTCTTGGCACTTGATGTTTTGAACAGCGATCAAGTTGCGTATGTCTGATGAGCACGCTCGACCATAGAGTTGGCTTGAGGGTTACGCGTAGTGATGAACTTGCGACGAAGTCCATATTCATCCCGGAGAGTCTTTTCGACCTCTGCGCGGAATCACGTTCCTCTATCCATGATAACCTCAGCAGGCCATGGATACCGAGTAAGCCACGTTTTTCTAGGACGATGCTACTTCGTCGCTGCCTTGGAGCAGATCCTGCAATCTCGAACCACGTTACGATC